CTGGCGGCTGCTGTCTACCATCCTGCTACCACAGGACGGTAGTACCTTCCTGGGCGGCTGCTGTCTACCATCCTGCTACCACAGGACGGTAGTACCTTCCTGGGCGGCTGCTGTCTACCATCCTACTACCACAGGACGGTAGTACCTCCCTGGACGGCTGCTGTCTACCATCCTACTACCACAGGACGGTAGTACCTCCCTGGGCGGCTGCTGTCTACCATCCTACTACCACAGGACGGTAGTACCTTCCTGGACGGCTGCTGTCTACCATCCTACTACCACAGGACGGTAGTACCTCCCTGGGCGGCTGCTGTCTACCATCCTGCTACCACAGGACGGTAGTACCTCCCTGGACGGCTGCTGTCTACCATCCTGCTACCACAGGACGGTAGTACCTTCCTGGGCGGCTGCTGTCTACCATCCTGCTACCACAGGACGGTAGTACCTTCCTGGGCGGCTGCTGTCTACCATCCTACTACCACAGGACGGTAGTACCTCCCTGGGCGGCTGCTGTCTACCATCCTACTACCACAGGACGGTAGTACCTCCCTGGGCGGCTGCTGTCTACCATCCTGCTACCACAGGACGGTAGTACCTCCCTGGGCGGCTGCTGTCTACCATCCTGCTACCACAGGACGGTAGTACCTCCCTGGGCGGCTGCTGTCTACCATCCTACTACCACAGGACGGTAGTACCTCCCTGGGCGGCTGCTGTCTACCATCCTACTACCACAGGACGGTAGTACCTCCCTGGGCGGCTGCTGTCTACCATCCTGCTACCACAGGACGGTAGTACCTCCCTGGACGGCTGCTGTCTACCATCCTGCTACCACAGGACGGTAGTACCTCCCTGGGCGGCTGCTGTCAACCATCCTGCTACCACAGGACGGTAGTACCTCCCTGGGCGGCTGCTGTCTACCATCCTGCTACCACAGGACGGTAGTACCTCCCTGGACGGCTGCTGTCTACCATCCTGCTACCACAGGACGGTAGTACCTCCCTGGACGGCTGCTGTCTACCATCCTGCTACCACAGGACGGTAGTACCTCCCTGGGCGGCTGCTGTCTACCATCCTACTACCACAGGACGGTAGTACCTCCCTGGGCGGCTGCTGTCTACCATCCTGCTACCACAGGACGGTAGTACCTCCCTGGGCGGCTGCTGTCTACCATCCTACTACCACAGGACGGTAGTACCTCCCTGGGCGGCTGCTGTCTACCATCCTGCTACCACAGGACGGTAGTACCTTCCCTGGACGGCTGCTGTCTACCATCCTGCTACCACAGGACGGTAGTACCTTCCTGGGCGGCTGCTGTCTACCATCCTGCTACCACAGGACGGTAGTACCTTCCTGGGCGGCTGCTGTCTACCATCCTACTACCACAGGACGGTAGTACCTCCCTGGGCGGCTGCTGTCTACCATCCTACTACCACAGGACGGTAGTACCTCCTGGGCGGCTGCTGTCTACCATCCTGCTACCACAGGACGGTAGTACCTCCCTGGGCGGCTGCTGTCTACCATCCTGCTACCACAGGACGGTAGTACCTCCCTGGGCGGGCTGCTGTCTACCATCCTACTACCACAGGAACGGTAGTACCTCCCTGGGCGGCTGCTGTCTACCATCCTGCTACCACAGGACGGTAGTACCTCCCTGGGCGGCTGCTGTCTACCATCCTGCTACCACAGGACGGTAGTACCTCCCTGGACGGCTGCTGTCTACCATCCTGCTACCACAGGACGGTAGTACCTCCCTGGGGGGCTGTCAACCATCCTGCTACCACAGGACGGTAGTTACCTCCCTGGGCGGCTGCTGTCTACCATCCTGCTACCACAGACGGTAGTACCTCCTGGACGGCTGCTGTCTACCATCCTGCTACCACAGGACGGTAGTACCTCCCTGGACGGCTGCTGTCTACCATCCTGCTACCACAGGACGGTAGTACCTCCCTGGGCGGCTGCTGTCTACCATCCTGCTACCTGGCATTATTATATATATTACTGATTACTAATATTATCTCTATTTTTATTGTTTTCTTATGGGAAGCGCTAAACCTGCATGGGCCATGCATCATCCTGAAATCAGGTGACCCAGCACAGGGTCGTGCTATGGTGTTGAGGTGCTCTTGATTATAGGAAGTGGAGCTGGTCTCCCTCTTCCTCTGATCAACCCTGATTGCTTCCCCTGCTGGTTTAGCACTTCCCCAGAATACTAATGATGATAATAATAATGGTGGTGGTGAAGAAGGAGGAGGAGGAAGAGGAGGGAAAATCTTCCCTTGCCAATAGTGTGTGTGTGTATTCACCTGTTTGTGGTTGCATGGGTCGAGCCACACCTCTTGACCCCGCTTCTTTACTGGTCGCTACTAGGCCCACTCTTTTTCCCTGCTCCATGAGCTTTATCATACCTCTTCTTAAAGCTATGTATGTATTACGGCCCAGGTAATTACGGCCTGTTATGCTGGGTGTAAAAGGAACTTGGAGCGAAATAAACACAACTAAAATCTTTGAATTGTATTTTCCTTCACCAAGTGTAAACAAATGTACACTATGTACACTATGTACAGCAAATAGGTATTAGTGCACGCCACGGTAGTCAAGGCAAAACAGCAGCCAAGAGACAAGAGACAACTGTGATTCAACCAGCAGCATAATGTAAATGACAAGGGTGAAAACGAGAGTGGTAACCACGTCACCTTCACAGTTACCAGATCCACATTATGATTGGCTCAACCTAGGTACTGATCTGACGATCCCCAGTGGATCGTCAGACCCTTAGTGCCTGGTTTGCTGGTTGGGGAGATAGCCTATGTACGAATATGGACATACTCTTTGCATGCCATAGTATGGTACTTGCCTCCATTACATCACTGTGAAGGCTTACTCAGCCCTGTAACAACTTCAGTAAGTATTACCAAGGCTGGCTCCTCCTCAGGAAAATTAATGAATAGAAAAAGAATAATAGTCAAATATAAACACTTTATTGTTTAGAAATGAAAATATAAAACAATTAAATATTAATTTTTGTTCTACCTGAAAGAGAATGAAAAATGAAATATAGAAATAATATCTGAATTCAACGCTAATATGTACAGTTAGACTGTGGTGTCTGATGTTGTTAACACCGCGTGTTGTAGAAATGGTAGCCGTTGCTGATGATGGAGGGGTCACAGATGTTGAGTGACAACCCAACGACTAGTTCTTCACAAAGTCTCTAGCCTTGAATAGTCCGTCAAGATGATAGGAACGCAGGTCTTTCACCACTGCAAAGATGAGAGGTAGTTACCTGGGGTTGACTACACTTAGGTATGCAGATAAAATGGTGACGTCCCAGAACTTGGATAAAGTTCGTCTTCTTCAACACTGTTTCTTTGGTTGCTAGATGACCTGAGCTGACATTCCAAGCTAGAAAGAGACAAAGGTTACCCACTGCCTAAGAAATCACTCTCCATGATAAGTAAGGTATTTAAAAAACATGGAGATTATCTAAAAGCACATGGAAATCAAGGCAGAATGAATTACGTCTTCAAATTGGATAAAACTGAAGCTTTTAACCAATATATTTATTAAAAAACAGGAGCAGAGGCTTTTACTTACAGTCAGAGTCAAGTGATTACCATTTGGTCGGAGCCCCACACGTCACCTTTCCGGGTGGAAAAAGGAAGGGGGGGATAGCGGGAGATAGACTGACCCTACCTTAACAAGCAGACAGGCAACCAAACTATCGTCACCATATACTCGCTTGCTACTCCTGTCTGTTGAACTTTTCCCTCACAATCACTCTCCAGATTGTTCCACTTCCTGACAACTCTGTGACTAAAGAAATACTTCCTAACATCCCTGTGACTCATCTGAGCTTTCAACTTCTAGTTGCGTCCCTATCCACATTGTCAGTTCCTCTCGGTATTATATATGTCGTTATCATGTCCTTCTCTATCCCTCCTGTCCTTTAGTGTCATCAGGTTGATTTCCCTTAACCTCTCCTGGTAGGACATACCCCTTAGCTCTGGGATTAGTCTTGTTGCAAACCTCTAATTTCTTGATGTGTTTGACCAGGTGTGGGTTCCAAACTGGTGTTTCACCGTGGTTCATACTCCAATATGGGCCTGACGTACACAGTATTTTGAACGACTCCTTACTTAGATGTCGGAATGCTATTTTTAGGTTTGCCAGGCGCCCATATGCTGCAGCAATTATTTATTTGATGTGCCCCTCAGATGTGCTCGGTATTATACTCACCAGAAGATTAGATTTTGCCACCGAAGTGGCTAGTTTATTGTGCACCCCATATCCATCCTGTGGTTACGCAAAAGGCCTAGGAACTAGGCCCGAAAGGGTTAACAGGTGTATATTTGGATTTATATCTATAGTTCCCTCAGTGTATATACAGAGAGATACACACTTCGTTGTATATAAACAGAGAGAAACACATCCCTAAGTGTATATAAATAGAGATATACATCTCTTGGGATATATACATTGAAAGATATCAAACCTATTATTTTATATACACTGAAATATTAACACCTGTCAGCAAAAACACAGGATTATTATATACACCGAGTTGTGTCTTTCAGTGTAGATACACTGAGTCCTAAGCCTAGTTCCTGTTTCAGGGATTAACGTATTCCTGCAGGTGTAGTCAGTGGACTGTAATTCCAATGAAGTAAGCAATGGCTGACATAGCGAGGCTGACCCAGAGGTGCCCAGTAAGGTTGGGATCTCGGCTGGCGCAGACGTACCCGAATCTGAGGATGACTGAGAGTGGTTGGGCCTGCTTTTGTCCCCCTGCCCTATGCCAAGGATGGCCGGCTCTGCGAGCGTCTACGAGACCGTCTACCGGACCGGTCCAGGGATAACTGGGTTTTTGTCCTCTCCTGGAATGCCGGAAGTCTAACATCACGCGCACACATTCCTTAACTTCACACACACACACATGGAAAGTCAAACCAAAATTACTCTTACCATTATTTTTTTAATAAATCAGAGAAATACATTCCATTAAGGTAATTCGTCATTAATACATTGATGTAAACAGTCTTAAGTAATTAGAGTCTGGAAGTACATGTGTGACCAAGTCCAGAGATTCTACTTTGACTCTACGTGAGCAAATGTTCAGGCATCAAGCTAATGTGAGGCTGGACCACAGTCCTGGAGGCTGGAAAGCAGTGTGAAGGATGGAAAGCAGACTGCCACATGCCTTATGAAGGCTAGAAGGCAGAGTGCCACATACATTATGAAGGATGGAAGGCAGAGTGCCACATACCTTATGAAGGCTGGAAGGCAGAGTGCCCCATACCTTATGAAGGATGGAAGGCACTCTGCGTTCTGATCAGGGCAAGGCTGTATTAAGGAAACGTATCAATCAAGATTATAAAAGATCTTGGGCGAAACTTTGTGGTATCATATTACAGCTACTCAACTCGTTCCCTGGCGCTGGGGTCGTCAACGTTCTCACTGGCGTAAGTTACAAACAAAACATCGTTGATAAACCAAAATAATAACATTGCCAAGGTGAAACGTTGATGAGGTCACTAACGTTGATGAGGTCACTAACGTTGATGAGGTCACTAACGTTGATGAGGTCACTAACGTTGCAACAAACTACCGCTGACTACATCTACCAGAGTTCTACTGGGGCGTCGTGTGAACCTTCTGAAACAGTTTCAGGTTTTCTAATTCCTCGAAGTTCACTCACAGTGTTTACCTCGGCAGTGTTGAACTGATTGATCACATGTTACCAACTGTCTGCAATACTGGGTAAAACACTGTGTATATAAAACACGATGTATGTAAAACTCTCGAGTAAGAAAAAGACAATATATATATACACATTCAAAATATTTATATACTAGGATTTTATATTTCTAAATATCGATGCATTAATGTGTTATCAATACTGAGAAACGGGAATACATCAATGTGTCATCAACACTGACCAATGGGGTAGAAAATCCCACAAGAAGAAAAAAAAAGGAAGAAGAGCTTTCTGTATATTTTGACCTCCGTCTGAGATCCTCTTCTATACATAGAGCAACATTCTACCTCGTTTTTTTTACTATCTCGAGTGCAGTTTTTCTCTCTCGCATTCTCCCAGATAATCCCGTCCTCCCCATCAATGTAAATCCCTTTTTGAGTCCCTCATTTGAGGGACTCAGACGGGGATTTGTGTGTGGATTTTAGCGGCCGCGAGGAGCGTGTGGCTAGTGGGAAGACTTCTTGGCCTGGTTCTTCTCAGCGGCCGCGAGGAGCGTGTGGCTAGTGGGAAGACTTCTTGGTCTGGTTCTTCTCAGCGGCCGCGAGGAGCGTGTGGCTAGTGGGAAGACTTCTTGGCCTGGTTCTTCTCAGCGGCCGCGAGGAGCGTGTGGCTAGTGGGAAGACTTCTTGGCCTGGTTCTTCTCAGCGGATGAAAACACTAACATCAACTGCTTGGCTGAGACAGGACAGGTCTTGTACACAGAGGCGCAGCTCTGGCTGGGGTTGGTCGACCTTCTTCCCAGCCACACAGCCTGCTCGTATGTTGCCTTCCAGCTCCTGAGCCTAGCGCCGGCCTGGGTGTTAGCCAGGGCTTCGGGCGTGTCGCTGGAAAAAAAAGGGGGAAAGCAACACCGGTAATTAGGTACAAACCACAACAGGTAATCGAAATTACAAAAAAAAAAAATATAACATGAGAATACATTGAAAAGCTACGTAAAACAGGAGATGAGCTGTATGACTCTCGTGAATCAGCCAAAACAATGAATATACAGACAACTTAACTCACTAGGAGAGAGAAAGTAAACTAGAATTATTTCAAAGTCAACAAATTAACAACAGAATCATGAGTCCAGGTTTAAGCTGTTTAATACGTAAACTCCTCAAAATATCCCAAAAATCTTATTTACACAGGCACCAGCTATCATTGCTTAAAAGACGCTTAAAGAAGAAAAGTCGAAGGAAAGTCGATAATTAACGTGGGAAGAGCTGGATTAAGATTCTGTAGGCCCCTGGGCTACAGGTACTGTGAGGTACCTGGGCCACAGGTACTGTGAGGGTCCCTGGGCTACAGGTACTGTGAGGTACCTGGGCCACAGGTACTGTGAGGGCCCCTGGGCTACAGGTACTGTGAGGCCCCTGGACTACAGGTACTATGAGGCTCCTGGACAGCAGGTACTGTGAGGGCCCCTGGGTTACAGGTACCGTGAGGCCCGTACTGTGAGGTCCCTGGGCCACAGGTGCTGTAAGGCCCCTGGACTACAGGTATTGTGAGGGGCTCCCAGTAATATTTTCCAGAGGAAAAAAAATAAAACAAGAGTGAATATTTCATGGTATACGTGATATAATAACATACTCTAATTATAAACTTACGACAGTAACTGCGGACACTTATAACTTAGTCTCTGGAGGCCCTCCAGCTGGCGGAGGCCCTTGGGCTGCAGCCCATGCCCTACTGTGGCCCTTAATATGCGAAACTTTAAAAAAAGCTTTCCTTTTTTTTTTTACGATGCTTAATCTTTAGGCTGAGAGTTGTCATTCTCTAACAGCTTATTTCAAAGCTTAGGTTTATCACATGGGTGACTCCAGCCCCCGGGATGCGACCACAGCAGTCGACCAGCACCCAAGTACCTATTTACTGCTAGGTTAACAGGGACAATAAGTCTTCACTCACCCTAGGATCGAACCCAGGTCTTCTGAGTTGTGAACAGTAGCTACCACTGATATTTTTAAGTACCCTTGCGAGGATACGTGAAACGTGATGCGCAGACACAGAAACACATGCTAGACTGGTGAATATAGTCAAGAGTCAGTACAGGTTGATGAATAAGACACGTGTGCAACACTTGGGTGACACATGTGCAACACTTCTGTGACACATGTGCAACATATGGGCACAACTGCATCTCTCCACCTCTTCTACTGGGTTCCACTTTAAGTGTCCATCATGCCTCCGATGGGCGAAACGTCTCATTGAAGACACCCAACTGTTGCATGCGTCTTACCCATCTACTTGCTGCCCTTCCACAGCCCTGAGCTAATAATGATAATCAACGTAGAGTTCGACACACTCACTCGAAGACAGCCATGATGACTCGCTCGTCGTGGGTGAGGCTGCTGGCGGGTACACCGGCCAGTTCACACACCAGCCTCAACACACACCCGTCAGCGTCCAGTTTACCCACCACGCCGAAGTATTCCTCTTCTTGACCCTCCTGAAAGGAATCGATAGGGATCCTCTCCTGAGTGCCGGGGACGGGTCCAGCAGCCACAACCTGGAGGTGGTGGGAACACAAGTAACTTTACTTAGACACAGGTACACAAAAGCACAGTTATTATACATAGTAAAATATGTGTAAATTACCTACCCATAAAAGTCAGACAAAGTGACTTATTTGGTGCTGCAACTCTCGATAAGCGACAATAATTGACGTTGAACGGAAGACAATTAAAAAAAAAAGACTTACAGTTTTGATTTGTGTTTACTGACCTGAACACCAGTAAACAATTCTTTTTGTCTACGCTGGTTAATTAGTAGAGTTTAAAGCCTGTCGACTACACGAGGGTAATCAAGGCAGCGAGTCACCTATTCAACACCCGCCAAGAATACTTTAATTCCTATAATAAGGATTAATGTCAACTCTCAGCTATATAAACTCGGTGTATATACTCTGAAAACGTGTATTATGGCACCGACCTGAGTGTCTCTCTTGCCTCTGCCGTGGTAACTGTCGAAGTAGGCTGCGGGGACGATGTAGAAGGCAGGACCGCCCCCGTAGTAGCCAGACGGGCTACCGCCCACGTAGTAAGTAGGGGGGCCACCACTAGTGTACAAGGCCGGACCGAAGTTGTGACGGTGGTCATAGCTAGAGTCCACCAGGTCCCGGATTGAACCCGGACCCTTGAGTCCACTTTCAGAGTTCTCCGAAGATCCCAAGATTCCCTTCTTCAGCTTAGCCAGTCCAATGTACTTCAGAGCCTCGAGGAACACATTGATGATGATGATAATAATAATATAATAATAATAATAATAATAATAATAATAATAATAAATTACTATAGCAAAAATAATAAATATATCATATGAGTGCCCTAAAACCATCAGCATGTTATCTGAGTGCACTAGTCTATTATCTGAGTGCACTCGAGTGTGTACAAGATGGTATCAGCGTGCACTCTTGTAGTTCACCTTGGATCTAGAGCCCTTCCTACTTCATTCCCTCCCCAGAGTGCGTGCACTCGCGTGCACTCAGGAGCTCACCTTCAGAGCGGCGAAGCTCACAGTGCACTCACTCTCCTGCAACATCAGCAGCGTCAGCGCCGCTGTCAGCAAGAACATCACTGCAGACCGCATCCTGGTGAGCGAAACATCGCATTAATAAACTTGATGAGTGAAACATAGCATTGATAAAGCTGATTGAAACGTCGCATTGATGAAGTTGGTGGGTGAAACGTCACCTGGATAAACTTGGTGAGCGAAACATCACACTGATAAGGCGGGGGAGGGAAACGATGCATTGTTAAAGCAGGCGAGCGAAACAACACAGATAAAAGCCCTGGATGAGCGAAACATACTCTAATCATTGTTTTCTTGCCCGTGTGCCTTCGTTATTCATTCACCGTTATTCATTACAGCGTTGAATTTACAGCGTTGAATTTACAGCGTTGAATTTACGGCGTTGAATTTACCTGCACCGCCAGCTGTCGCTAGAGTGAACAAAAATCAACGCGGTTCACTATAAACTAACTGAAGGAGCTGATAAGACACATGTGCAACAGTTAGATATCCTTATTCCGAAACGTTTCTCCCACACAGCCGGCTTCTTCAGTCGAACGAGGAGGAGGAGGAGGAGGAGGCGGTAGAGTTGTGAAGACTGACCACCTCAAAGCTACGTCTTCGAGGGTGACTGACTGTATGCTTTTTGCATCTCTAATGCTTCTGCTGCCTCCTTCTGTATTTGACCGAGGAAGTCTGCTGTGTAAAAATACCTGACTGTTTCACATGGGTCTTATCAAATTGTCGGTATTGTTTATCGCTATTGTATTCTGAGTCAACGAGCACTGTGTCGGGCTGAGATCAACCGAACGGGCAAGGTTAGTTAAAACAGAGTAGTTTAGTAGTAACAAGAGCAATTGTTGCGGTAACAAGGATAGTTGCGATAGTAACGAGGGTAGTTGCGGTAGTAACGAGGGTAGTTGCGGTAGTAACGAGGGTAGTTGCGGTAGTAACGAGGGTAGTTGCGGTAGTAACGAGGGTAGTTGCGGTAGTAACGAGGGTAGTTGCGGTAGTAACGAGGGGTGTTAAGTTGCGGTAGTAACGAGGGTAGTTGCGGTAGTAACGAGGGTAGTTGCTGTAGTAACAGGGATAGTTGTAAAGGTAACATTGCTGTAATAGTAACAATGATAGTTGTAGTAGTAACACTGATAGCTATAGCAGTAACACTGATAGCTGTAGTTATAACACTGATAGTTGTAGTAGTGACACTGATAGCTATAGCAGTAACACTGATAGCTGTAGTTATAAAAACTAGATTTAGTGTTATGTAGAAACACTGATACTTCTATAGCAGTACGCGATAGCTGTGTTATAAACTGATAGTTGTAGTAGTCACTTATAGCTGTAGTAATGACACTGATAATTGAGTAGGCAACATAATGTATAGTAACACTGATAGTTTAGTTAGTAACACTAAAAGCTTAGTAGTAACCACTAAAGTTTAGTAGATACACTAGATAGCTGTAGATAGTAACACTGATAGCGTAGGTAGTAAACATGTAGTCGACAGCAGTAACAACAGCTAAACAAAACATACCATCTTCTAGATGCAGTCTTCCATTCGTCAGAGAAAATGAGGTAACTTCTTGAAGCAGCGGCGGCAGCAGTGTGTTAGAGAGAGGTGAATGAAAGACCAAACAGCCTTCCCTTGTACTCTCCTAATGACATCTATCTAGAAGTAATTAGACGTGGCTAAACTATACTTTGTTACACTGAAACAACTTTATTACGTTTCTAAGTCCTATGAACAGTTTATGCAAATAACTCCACTGCCAGTTTCTCATTAGAACTGCGATTCACAGCGTCAGACAGACGAGGAATACTTAAATCCCTGAAGCAAGGATTGTAATGAGAGTATGTGTAATGAAAGATGTACACCTCGGTATATACAAAGATATATACACCTTTCGGTGTATATCCAACGATATACACCTTTCACTGTACGTAGAGTGAGATATACTATACATTGGTGTGTATCAGCCACAGGGGAAGAGGTTTGGTTGACATACATCTGTTATCGATCATTATCTCACTAACTGCTCTATATAGAAGGGAGATATATATAGGTATCTTGTGTCTGTTATTCAACTGAGAAGTTTACAGTTCATTAAAGTGGCAAACTAACAAAATTACTTTTTCTACAAAATCAAGATCAACTTGTATCATACACGTCTTATCATAACAATGCGAGTGTCTGGGGCAAGTGTTAACATTTAACAACGATGAGCTAACAACAATGAGAGAAACAGAGAGCATCAGTAACGAGAGAAAGAGAGAGAGAGCATGTTCGTACAGCACAATGATGTCAACGAGATAAAGTCAGTTGATCAAGTGAAAATGCTGGCCCACAGATGTAGGTAACAGCTGATGTAGGTAACAGCTGATGTAGGTAACAGCTGATGTAGGTAACAGCTGATGTAGGTAACAGCTCTTAGCTTGTCAATAAAGTTAGGAATCATTAACCTAACCTTGTCAAACCTTGTGTAAAAAAAAGAGCACCCTAGAGAATGTCTTCACCAGGACAATGAGAAAGGAAAAGAATAGTCATTCCGTTTCAGATGGCCATTACGACATAATGTTTTCAGAATCGATGTTTAATATCAGTTCCCACTCACTCCCCGTCATCCCGATCGGCATTATAAAAAATAGAGGAAAATACAGCCGCTTCACTTACGTTGAAAGGAGAAGGTTTGGAACGAGGCGAAGAGTCAAGCCGAACTGTGGGTTAAGGGTGGCTGGAGCTGCCTTTATATAGCCATGCAAGGATGGTCCATCTTGACCCATGCACACTGACGCCTGTACGCACATTTTTACCCTAAATTCTTTCCTGTTGTCCCTTCCTCTCTGAGGCCTTTCACCAGCGGTTCCTTGTGCAGGTAATAATACCGAGTGCTTCCTGGGAGAGTCGGGTGTTCTCCTGGGGTACACATGCACTAATAAACAGAGAGAATGAGCCTTTATCTGTCAGAGCAGACGCTCTCCTGAGGTTCATATGAGCTTATCAACAGAGAAAACCTGAAGGTAGATGGTAGAAGGTAGACGTAGAAGACGTATAATTCACAGCAGGTAGTAAAGAGTTGAAATCTTCGTAGCTGACTAAAGTGTATCTCAGAGTTCTTCAGACAAGACAATGACCAACATGAAGACTCAGGTCTAGAGCACACATAACAGTGTTCTTGATATGTACCAGAGTATATTTATCAATTGGTGTATCTTACTCGGTACATATACGAAGAGAGGCTTATCTGTCTGTCTGTCTGTCTGTCTGTCTGTCTGTCTGTCTGTCTGTCTGTCTCTGTCTCTGTCTCTATCTGTCTCTGTCTCTGTCTCTCTCTGTCTCTGTCTCGGTCTCTCTCTGTCTCTGTCTCTCTCTGTCTCTCTCTATCTCTGTCTGTCTCTCTCTCTCTCTCTCTCTCTCTCTTTCACTCTCCATATGAATATATATATATATAATATATATATATATATATTATATATATATATATATATATGTATGTATATTGATGGATGGCTTTATAATAACATAAACAAAATTCAAAACATTACCTCAACAAATTACAAACAATATAAAAAATTCAACCATTACAAATACAAATTTTTAAATATTGTGGAACTGAGAAATGTGATTTTGTCATAGTTATAAAAGTTGGGTTACAAACACACAAGACCGGGTTCACTTACCTGATTGTTATTCTCCATACACCTGCTGTCACTCTTCTCTTAGCAGTAAATAGGTATCTGCCTGGTTAATAACCCAGAGGGGGTTAATAACCTAGAAAATATCTCCTAGACAGAGTTTATCTCCAGGTGTCCCGTTGCTTGGTTGGTAGCTCACACACTGAAGTCTGTTGTTCGATCCCCGGTACGGGTGGAAACATTACGACGTGTTTCCTTAAGGCACCTGCTGCCCATGTATCAGTAAAATAGGTACCTGGGTGTTAGTAGACTGGTGTGGGTCGCATCCTGGAACAAAACTGACCTAATTTGCCCGAAATGCTCTGCATAACAAGGGGATTTCTATATACTAGTGTTGTCACTGATGTCGCTGTGATCTGTGTAAGTTGTATCATGTACTTGACGAAGTGAAGATTATTACTGTTATTGCTGCTTGAGACCAGAAGTACTGGTATTAGTACTGGTATTAGTACTGGTACTAGTACTGGTACTAGTACTGGTACTAGTACTGGTATTAGTACTGGTACTAGTACTGGTATTAGTACTGGTACTAGTACTGGTATTAGTACTGGTACTAGTACTGGTATTAGTACTGGTACTAGTACTGGTATTAGTACTGGTACTAGTACTGGTATTAGTACTGGTACTAGTACAGGTATCAAAACTGATATTAGAACTGGTATTAGTACTGGTATAGAACTGGTATTAGTACTTGTATTAGAACTGGTAGTAGTACTGGCATTAGTATTGGTATTAGTACTGGTATTAGTACTGGTACTAGTACTGGTATTAGTACTGGTACTAGTACTGGTATTAGTACTGGTACTAGTACAGGTATCAAAACTGATGGTTTAGAAAGACACGTAAGCAAACACTATAACATATTTATTAGAAAACGTTTCGGTCCTGGGACCTTGATCACTTCTAACATACAGAGGTAGGAAGACATTATATATAGGCGGAGAGTGAGGTGTGACGTACGTGACCTGAGGAATGTCATAAGAACATAAGAATGGAGGAACACTGTAGAAGGCCTACTGGCCCATGCGAGGCATGTCCTTATCAAAAACAACCTCTGCCTATGATGAGGACGGGTAGACGATGAAATCAAGTGACTCCTGTGTTGTTGGGTTGGTGCTGCATACATGATACTTAAGCAGCACCAACCCAACAACACAGGAGTCACTTGATTTCATCGTCTACCCGTCCTCATCATAGGCAGAGGTTGTTTTTGATAAGGACATGCCTCGCATGGGCCAGTAGGCCTTCTACAGTGTTCCTCCATTCTTATGTTCTTATGACATTCCTCAGGTCACGTACGTCACACCTCACTCTCCGCCTATATATAATGTCTTTCTACCTCTGTATGTTAGAAGTGATCAAGGTCCCAGGACCGAAACGTTTTCTAATAAATATGTTATAGTGTTTGCTTACGTGTCTTTCTAAACCAACTTGTCGGTATTTATTACCAAGGTTTATACCATCAAAACTGATATTAGAACTGGTATTAGTACTGGTATAGAACTGGTATTAGCACTTGTATTAGAACTGGTAGTAGTACTGGTATTAATACTGGTTTTAGGTGCTGATATTAGACCTGGTTTTAGTACTGGTATTGAACTGATATTAATACTGGTATTAGAAATGCTATGAGTACCGACATTAGTGCTTCTATTAATTAATATTGGTATTAGTACTAGTATTACAACTGGAATTAGTACTGGTATTAGTGCTTGTATTAATACTGGTATTAGTGCTTGTATTAATACTGGTATTAGTGCTTGTATTAATACTGGTATTAGTGCTTGTACTATTACTGGTATTAGTGCTTGTATTAATACTGGTATTAGTGCTTCAATTATTACTGGTATTAGTGTTTGTATTAATACTGGTATTAGTGCTTGTATTAATACTGGTATTAGTGCTTGTATTAATGCTGGTATTAGTGCTTGTATTAATACTGGTATTAGTGCTTGTATTAATACTGGTATTAGTGCTTATATTAATACTGGTATTAGTGCTTGTATTAATACTGGTATTAGTGCTTGTATTAATACTGGTATTAGTGCTTGTATTAGTACCGGCATGATTACTGATTTTAGGAAAAGTATTAGTATTGGTATGAGTACTGGTATTAGAAATGGTATTAGTACTGGTATTAATGCTAGTAATAGTACTGGTATTAATGTCAGTATTAGTACTAAGAGCACTAGTTATATATTTTAGAATAGTTATTAAACAACTATGTTAAGAAGAACATTACAATAACAGCAAGTGAACACTAGCACTAACAACCAGAAAAACTCTTATCACAATACTGTTCTGAACACAGTAACACTGTGTGGCTAGGTTAGTTATGTTAGGTTAGGTTACGCTAGGTTAGGTTAGGTTAGGTTAGGTTAGGTTAGGTCACGTTAGGTCAGGTTAGGTTAGGTTAGGTCAGGTTAGGTTAGTTTAGGTTAGGTTAGGTTAGGTGTGGTTAGGTTAGGTTAGGTTAGGTTAGGTTAGGTTAGGTTACGCTAGGTTAGGTTACGCTAGGTTAGGTTAGGTTAGGTTAGGTTAGGTTAGGTTAGGTCAGGTTAGGTTAGGTTAGGTTAGGTTAGGTTAGGCTAGGTTAGGTTACGCTAGGTTAGGTTAGGTTAGGCTAGGGTTTGGTTAGGTTAGGTCAGGTTACGCTAGGTTAGGTTAGGCTAGGATAGGTTAGGTTTAAATTAGGTCAGGTTAGGTCAGGTTAGGTCAGGTTAGGTTAGGTTAGGTTAGGTTAGGTTAGGTTAGGTTAGGTTAGGTTAGGTCAGGTTAGGTCAGGTTAGCTAAGGTCAGGTTAGGTTAGGTTAGGTTAGGTTAGGTTAGGTTACGCTAGGTTACGTTAGGTCAGGTTAGGTCAGGTTAGGTCAGGTTACGTTAGGTTATGTTAGGTCAGGTTAGGTCAGATTAGGTTAGGTTAGGTTAGGTCAGGTTAGGCCAGGCTAGGTCAGGTTAGGTTAGGTTAGATCAGGTTAGGTCAGGTTAGGTTAGGTTAGGTTAGGTTACGTCAGGTTAGGTTAGGTTAGGTTAGGTTAGGTTAGGTTAGGTTAGGTCAGGTTAGGTTAGGTTAGGTTAGGTTAGGTTAGGTTAGGTTAGGTTAGGTTAGGTAAGGTAGGTCATGTTACGCTAGGTTAGGTTAGATTAGGTTAGGTTAGGTTAGGTTTAGGTTAGGTCAGGTTAGGTTAGATTAGGTTAGGTTAGGTTAGGTTAGGTCAGGTTATGCTAGGTTAGGTAGGTTAGGTTAGGTTAAGTTAGGTCAGGTTAGGTTAGGTTAGGTTAGGTTAGGTTAGGTTAGGTCAGGTTAGGTCAGGTTAGGTTAGGTTATGTTAGGCTGGGTCAGGTTAGGTCAGTTTAGGTCAGGTTACAGTCAGGTTTAAAGGTCAGGTTAGTCAGTTAAGTTAGGTTAGGTTACGCTAGGTGGGTTAGGTTAGGTTAGGTTGGGTTGGGTTTCGTCAGTTATCAGTTAGGTCAGGTTAGTCGGGTTACGTTGGGTTTTTAGGTTACTTTAGGTTAGGTAATTAGGTTAGTTAGTTAGTCAGTTATTCAGGTTAGGTTAGGTTAGGTTAGGTTAGGTTGTAAGGCAAGGTTATGCTAGGTTACTTTTAGGCCGGGTTTACGTTAGGTCTAGGTTAGGTTAGGTAGGTCAGTTAGGTTGGGTTTTACGCTAGGTTAGGAGGTATTTTATGTAGGTTGGGTTTCAGGTTAGGACAGTTGGGTTTCAGTAGGTTAGGTTAGATCAGTTGGTAGGTTAGGTTAGGTTGGGTTAGGTTAGGTTACCAGGTTAGTTATTTAGTTTAGGTTAGGTTAGTTTTACGTACGGTTACGTTAGTTAGGTTTAGGTTAATCAGGTTATTCAGGTTAAGTTAGGTTTAGGTTAGGTATAGGTTCGTTAGGTTACTTTGGGTTACTTTAGGTTGGGTTAGGTTAGATCAGGTAGGTCGGGTTAAGTGGGTTTAAAGTGTTGGGTTAGGTTACTCGGGTTTTAGGTTGGGTTTGGGTTAGGTTAGGTTTAG